AGCCGGGAGGAAGCAGAGACAGGACACCTGACCCAAACTAACCAAAGAGGTATTCCATACCACAGCACATCATGCCCAGTATTTAAACTGGGTGCAGTTACCTGGAAGGGCTAGATCACTGCTTGGGTCAGGCTGGGTATCGGTCGGCAGGTGGTGAGTGGTTGTATTCTCTTCCCTTGTTATTTCCCTTATCATTATTATTGTTGGTGGTAGCAGTAGTGGTTTTATGTTATACCTTAGTTACTGGACTGTTCTTATCTCTACTCATGGTAGTTACATTCTTTCGATTCTCCTCTCCATCCCTCTGGGAGTGGGGGGAGGAAGACAGGGAGGGAGAGTGAGCAAGCGGCTGCGTGGTTCTGAGTTACCAACTGGGCCTAAACTATGATGTGTTTTCGACTTTAGCCTGAGAACAATGCTGATAACACACCAATGTTTTAGTTGTTGCTAAGTAATGCTTGGCCTAATCAAGGACTTTTCAGTCTCTCATGCTTTGCCAGGGAGGAGAGGCACAAGAAGCCAGGAGGAAGCAGAGACAGGACACCTGACCCAAACTAGCCAAAGGGGTATTCCATACCACAGCATGTCATGCCCTGTATAGAAACTGAGGGAGTCACTCAGAAGGCCCAGATCACTGCTCGGGTCAGGCTGGCTGACTGCCATGACTACTGAAATAGGATGGAGAGTAGCTTGGAAACTACATTAGCCATTTGTCTCAGGATCCTGGTGTGCATTTCATCGGGTCACATGGGCTTGTGTATGATGAGGTTCCTCAGGTGGTCTCGAACATAAACTTATCCTATGAAGTGAGGGACTTCTTTCCCTCAGTCCCTGCCTTGATATTCAGGGGCTTGAGAGATGTGGGAAGAGAGGTTACCATTGATAACTGAGGAACAAAAATTCTTGAGTACCCCAGCCTTCTCCATGTCAGTAGTCACTATTTCCCATGTTCATGTTTTCTTAATTGGAGTGTGCAATTTTCTTGAATTTTCTTTTCAGGCCAGAATACCCATAGAAGATATTTTTATTATTCTTTGAATATTTTGCCAAATTCAGATCCAGCTGCACCTTAGCTTTCTTGGTCCCATGCCTACACATCCAGGCAGCATCACTATATTATAGAATCATAGAATAGTTAGGGTTGGAAAGGACCTTAAGATCATCGAGTCCAAACCCCATTCCATGGGCAGGGACACCTCACACTAAACCATATCACCCAAGGCCTCGTCCAACCTGGCCTTGAAAACTTCCAGGGATGGAGCATTCACAACCTCCCTGGGCAACCTATTCCAGTGCCTCACCACCCTAACAGGAAAGAATTTCCTCCTTATATCCAATCTAAACTTCCCTTGTTTAAGTTTTAACCCATTACCCCTTGTCCTATCACTACAGTCCCTAAAGAAGAGTACCTCCCCAGCATCCCTATATGCCCCCTTCAGATACTAGAAGGCTGCTATGAGGTCTCCATGCAGCCTTCTCTTCTCCAGGCTGAACAGCCCCAACTTTCTCAGCCTATCTTCATACAGGAGGTGCTCCAGTCCCCGATCATTCTCATGGCCCTTCTCTAGACTTGTTCCAACAGTTCCATGTCCTTTTTATGTTGAGGACACCAGAACTGCACACAATACTCCAGGTGAGGTCTCACAAGAGCAAAGGGGCAGGATCACCTCCTTCAACCTGCTGGTCACACACCTTTTGATGCAGCCCAGGATATGGCTGGCTTTCTGGGCTGCAAGCGCACACAACCGGCTGATGTTAATTTTCTCATTGACCAGCACCCCCAAGTCCTTCTCCGCAGGGCTGCTCTGAATCTCTTCTTTGCCCAACCTGTAGCTGTGCCTCAGATTGCTCTGACCCAGGTGTAGGACCTTGCACTTGGCATGGTTAAACTTCATGAGGTTAGCATCAGCCCACTTCACAAGCGTGTCAAGGTACCTCTGGATGGCATTCCTTCCCTCCAGCATATCAATGGAACCACACAGCTTGGTGTCATTGGCAAACTTGCTGAGGGCGCACTAAGTCCCACTGTCCATGTCAGCGACGAAGATATTAAACAAGACCAGTCCCGACACCGATCCCTGAGGGACACCACTCGTTACTGGTCTGCAGATAGACATTAAGCCATTGACCACAAGTCCTTGTGTGCGGCCATCCATCCAGTTCTTTATCCACCAAGTGGTTCATCCATCAAATTGATGTCTCTCCAATTTAGAGACAAGGATGTCGTGTGGGACAGTGTCAAACGCTTTACACAAGTCCAGGTAGATGACGTCAACTGCTCTACCCCTGTCCATCAGTTCCGTAGCCCCATCGTAGAAGGCCACCAAATTGGTGAGGCAGGATTTCCCCTTAGCGAAGCCATGCTGGCTGTCACCAAGCACCTTGTTGTTTTTCATGTGCCTTAGCATGCCTTCCAGGAGAACCTGCTCCAAGATTTTGCCAGGCACAGAGGTGAGACTCACTGGTCTGTAATTCCCTGGGTCATCCATTTTCCCCTTCTTGAAAATGGGGCTTATATTTCCATTTTTCCAGTAATCAGGAACTTCACCTGACTGACATGATTTCTCAAATATGATGGCCAGCGGCTTAGCAACTTCATTCGCCAGCTCCTTCAGGACCCGCGGATGGGTTTCATCAGGACCCATGGACTTGTGCACGTTCAGATTTTTAAGATGGTCTCAAACCAGTTCCTCTCCTACAGTGGGCCTAAGGTCTTCATTCTCACAGTCCCTGCGTCTGCCTTCCCAGACCTGGATGGTGCGGTCAGAGACTTTGCCAGTGAAGACTGAGGTGAAGAAATCATTCAGAACCTCAGCCTTCTCCAAATCCTGTGTAGCTAGTTCTCCCGAGAGCTTCCTGAGGGGGCCTATGTTGTCCCTAGTCTGTTTTTTATTTGCTATGTACCTGTAGAATCCCTTCCTGTTATCCTTAATATCCCTAACCAAATTTAATTCTAATTGGGATCAAGGTTCTCCCCTTTCCTAGGATGTTGACAGACCCATCAAACATAAATGTTAGGGGATAAAATCACTCTTTTACCCTTCTGATTCTCTTGTTTGCTTTAACATGCTTATATATTTTTCCCACTGTGAGCAGAAAAGGCTTGTGGCTGATCTTAGAACGATTAGGTTGTCCCCCCAAGTTCCTCAAAATGATTATTCTGTTACATGAGGATCAGCAAGGCCAAGTCAGGTATGGTGATGCACTCTCTGAGCCTTTCCCAATAACCAATGGTGTGAAACAAGGTTGCGTTCTCGCACCGACCTTATTCACAATCTTCTTCAGCATGATGCTCCAAAGGGCTACAGCAGACCTCGACGAACAAGATGGCATTTATATTCGATATCGTACCGATGGTAGCCTATTCAATCTAAGGTGACTGAAGGCCCACACTAAGACCCTAAACCATCTTGTCCGTGAACTGCTCTTTGCTGATGATGCCGCCCTTGTTGCCCACACAGAAGCAGCTCTGCAGCGTTTAACATCTTGCTTTGCAGAGGCGGCTGAGGTTTTTGGGCTGGAAGTCAGCTTGAAGAAGACAGTAGTCCTCTACCTACCTGCACCCCAAGAAGATTATCGCCATCCCCAGATTACCATCGGCGAGTCAGAGCTTAAGACAGTTCAGCAGTTCAGCTATCTGGGAAGGATCATTTCCTTGGATGCCACGATCGACAGAGATAGACAACAGAATAGCAAAGGCATATAGAGCCTTTGGAAAACTCCATAAAAGAGTCTGGTGCAATAAACACCTGAAGAAAAGTACAAAGGTCAGTGTCTATAGAGCCATTGTATTGTCTACTCTTTTATATGGGTCTGAATCTTGGGTCATCTACCGTCATCACCTGCGACTCCTGGAACGCTTTCATCAGCGCTGCCTCCGTACAATTCTAAACATCCATTGGACTGACTATGTGTCTAATGTCACTGTCCTCGAACAGGCAGGGGTCACCAGCATCGAGGCCACATTGCTGAAATTGCAGCTGCGCTGGGCAGGGCACGTCTCTAGAATGAAGGATCACCGCCTCCCCAAGATCGTGTTTTATGGTGAACTTGCCACCGGTAGCCGCAAGAGAGGTGCCCCAAAGAAGAGATATAAGAACTCCCTGAAACAATACCTTAGCCTTGGCCATATTGACTACCATCAGTGGTCCACCTTGGCCTCCAATCAGGAGACTTGGAGGCACACCATACATAATGCCACTGACTCCTTTGAGAGTTCACGAAGAACTAGTCTCGAGGAGAAAAGACAACGCAGGAAGAATTGCGCCCCACCTGTTCCACCCAAGGAGACCTTCTGCTGTGCTTTTTGCAGCCGGGTTTGCCTATCCCACATTGGCCTTCTTAGTCATCAGCACGCTTGTAGTAAGCGTGGGTAAAAGCCCTTCCCAAATCTTCGTTCGCGAAGTCAAGCCATGATGATGATGATATTTTTCCCACTGTCTCTCTCAGTTTGTAAAATGAACCTCTAGTTTTCTTCCATCACTATTGGTCTTCCATTGTCTTCTTTCCATCCCCCTTTCTCCCAGTCATAAGTCTGGTATTTTATTCCATTATTAACATAATCACTGTGAATAGAGATAATAGGTTCCGTTTAAAGGATTAATGTCTTTTATTAACTTCTATGGTAGTCTATACGTCTGCTGTTTGAGATTATCTTTTGTTGTGGGTTGACCCTGGACTGCAACTAAATACCCATAGAGCCACTCACTCAGACCCCACTCAATGAGATGGGTGAGAGAATAAGAACAGCAAAAAGCAAGAATATTCATGGGTCCAGATAAAGACAGTTTAATAAGTGAAGAGAAAAAAAACACAAATTATTCAAACACACCCAACTCCTACGCGCTCCTCTTGAAAGACATGTCACCTGCCAGCGAGCACCTCCACAGACACAGCCCAAGGGTGGCAGAAACCCACTCAGATACCCCTGGTGATCTCACAACTTTCTTCAAACTATTCTTGTTTTATTTCTAATTAATTATTAATGCTCTTATTATTAGTCTGTAGAAGCTGCTTGGTGAAGTATTTGGAGGAAAACAACACCTGTCCAACATGTCGGATTGTTATACACCAGAGCCATCCATTACAGTATGTTGGGTAAGTGTGTAGTGTGAAAGGAAAAGCAGAGCTAGTTGCTCTCTGGGCTATACAAACCTCTCAATACAGCACAATTTAACTCTACATTTTTTTATTTGCTTACCAATATTTTAAATATATGTAAAGAAGCTTGTTTAAAAGATAGATTTATATGAAACGAGTGGTGTCCCTCAGGGATCAGTGTTGGGACTGGTCTTGTTTAACATCTTCGTCGCTGACATAGACAGTGGGATTGAGTGCGCCCTCAGCAAGTTTGCCTATGACACCAAGCTGTGTGGTTCAGTTGATACGCTGGAGGGAAGGAATGCCATTCAGAGGGACCTTGACATGCTTGTGAGGTGGGCTGATGCCAACCTCATGAAGTTTAACCATGACAAGTGCAAGGTCCTACACCTGGGTCAGAGCAATCTGAGGCACAGCTACAGGTTTGGCAAAGAAGAGATTCAGAGCAGCCCTGCGGAGAAGGACTTGGGGGTGCTGGTCGATGAGAAAATGAACATGAGCCGGCAGTGTGCACTTGCAACCCAGAAAGCCAACTGTATCCTGGGCTGCATCAAAAGGAGCATGACCAGCAGGTCAAAGGAGGTGATCCTGCCCCTTTACTCTGCTCTCGTGAGACCTCACTTGGAGTATTGTGTACAGTTCTGGTGTCCTCAACATAAAAAGGACATGGAACTGTTGGAATAAGTCTAGAGAAGGGCCACGAGGATGACTGGGGACTGGAGCACCTCCTGTATGAAGATAGGCTGAGAAAGTTGGGGCTGTTCAGCCTGGAGAAGAGAAGGCTGCGTGGAGACCTCGTAGCAGCCTTCCAGTATCTGAAGGGGGCATATAGGGATGCTGGGGAGGTACTCTTCATTAGGGACTGTAGTGATAGGGCAAGGGGTAATAGGTTAAAACTTAAACAGGGGAAGTTTAGATTGGATATAAGGAGGAAATTCTTTCCTGTTAGGGTGGTGAGGCACTGGAATAGGTTGCCCAGGGAGGTTGTGAATGCTCCATCCCTGGAAGTTTTCAAGGCCAGGTTGGACGAGGCCTTGGGTGATATGGTTTAGTGTGAGGTGTCCCTGCCCATGGCAGGGGGGTTGGAACTTGATGTTCTTAAGGTCCTTTCCAACCCTAACTATTCTATGATTCTATGAAAGAGGTGAGGTATTGAGTTCTGCTGTGAAATCGCAATTCTTTTGAAGCAAACCATTTTCTCTTGAGTGAGACAAACACAATAGACTTTATTTAATTTCTGAGTGACATTTAGTGAGATTTAGTCACTTCCTGGTTTGTATGCTTGGATCATAGAGGTTGCACATAGGGAACATCAACATGAATTATACTTGTATTAAATCTTAAGAATAATGACTGGCAGTTGGATAGTAGTTTTTCAGTGACTGAGAGGGTGTTTTCAAAGACTTTGCAAATACACAGCATTATTATTGATTTAGTCTTTCAAAGGACTATTTCATTCATAGGTGCAGATGAGAAAGTTGTTGAGAAAAATTAGAGTAGTGCTTTCAGTATCTTGAATGGAGCAGTCTCTGAAAGATTTGTGCCTACTTCTTTCCATTCCCATACAGGGCTTCATTACTGTGTGACCTAAAATATATGGAATGTTGTATCCTAATTTATTTCTTTTTCATTGTATTTTCTGTTAATTTGTACATTACATTTCTTTTTCTTCAACAGTTTCCTCTCATTTTAAAAATGTCAAAGGTATCAGTCAAATGTTATACCACTTGACTTGACCAGATCTGCACTAGAGATTTGTACCATAGCAACTTTTATTGATATAAATTTATTGAGACAGTGTGTTCACAATAGATGTTGCACATTGTGTAGACTCTTGTCTACCTCCACGCAAAGTTTCTTTTAGTTTGTGGCACTGCTTTAAATGTGCATGTCTTGGTTCTAGTGCAGCTTTTGAAGAAGTGGCTATCGAAAATGAATTTGATTCTTTCTCCACTTTCACTGAAAATTGTGCATGTCCTATAAAAAAATTCTGAATTGCTCAAAGCTGAGTTCCCCTCAGGAGTCAGAAATACAATAAGAGTTTTCTTATACCTTCTGAGAATGATATAGAGACTATACTAGAGTGTATTTTGAAATATGACAAAACAGTAACGATAAATCCATGCCAGTAGCCAAGAAGAAACAAATGGCACTTAAGACAACATGGTCATCCTCTGTAAAGCTACAGAAGTACAGCTGTGTATTGCTTCAGAAGCCTGTTTTCAGTGCTAAGAGAGGTTTGGGAGCATAGCCTCAAATTGAGTAGTTAGAAGCGGATTTGACAGTTGTTTGTGGACACTGAATGTACAGTATTATGTCTTTTAAGAAGTCGATCCCCTTCTTCAGGGTTCTTTGTTCTACTGCTTCAAAAAATGAAGATGCCCTCCTAGAGAAGTATTTTCCTGAGCTAGTTACAAAATACTGCCCCTTAATTATTGAAGCAGATAAATTTTTTTCCAACCTGATTTTGGAAGTCTGTGGTTTCTTCAATAGGGAATTAATAGGGAGGAACTTTGTATTATGCCTTAGTTACAACAATCTATGATCTTGAACAAATGCATCTCACATTTCATCCAAGAGTCCTGTTAAATTCTCACCTTTGTTCTCACGCTGGTAGCTAAAATCATTAATTTAGATTGAAATGTTTTTGGAGATGTTCCTGAAATTTTTTAATGACATTTAAAAATTCTAACCTGACAATAAAAGCTGGAGTTTGGTATTGTAAACTCTTTTGAGGTTAATGTCCCAGTAGCAGATGAGTCTGGTGTTTTAGCTTGTATTGTATTTTATTTATAGTTTGGAAGTCAGGGTAATGTTCTGGTCCTTTCAATCAATGACTTGTTTTAGAGTAATCCAGGAAATGGCAGCTTGTAGTTAAACTTTGGTTTAAAACATCAGTGTTTAGAATTTTAACCAGTCCTACTTCCCCACCGTTTCCTTCCTTAGTTTGTCTTTTTTCAGCTAGATGGGATTCTGAGCTACATGATGTTGCTCTTGGGTAAAATGCTGAATTATAAGAGCAAATGCAGATTTTCTTTCCTTTGTTCTCTTCTTTGTTCTCTTTTATTCCTAGAAGCTTTTTTTCCTCATGTTTTGTAAAAAGCCCACTATGGTTAAGTAAACAACCTAACAACACGAGAGATTAATTAAAAGGGATAAGAAACAGTCTAGTTTATAAAAACAGAAAATTAAAAAAAAAGCTTTTGTTAAAAATGTCAAGCAATTTTGAGAATTATGTTACCGATACGCATGCAGGTATATGGCATCTCTTACAGGATGCTGTCCTTTGTGTCATAAAGACCATCCTTCCTAGCATTTCTGTTAAACTTTTGTCAGTTTAAATTTTGTCAGTTCTTGTCTTAGCCTGAACTTTATCTTGCATTCTTTTCTTATAACTGTTATCTCATGTTTGATATTTCAGTCATCCAAGATAAATATTTTTATTTCTTATAAGACTTTAGAGGTTTGTAGAGTTGACTTAATACTGAATCTCTTTAAGAGAACTGTTTTGTATCAAGATGGATAATTTAAAACTTCAGTTTTCTTTTTTTTCTTTTTTTTCCTTTTTTTCCTGTTAGTCATGATAGAACAATGCAAGATATTGTTTACAAACTTGTGCCAGGCCTCCAAGAAGGTAAGTTTTTTGGTATGACCTATTTTTACTAAATGCTAGATTTACACATAGTTCCTTTACATTAACAAGGAGGAAGTGAGGAAAATGTTGGTGGGTGTGGTGTGTGAAAAAATAGCATCTTCACTTGTTCTGGTTCTAGCACTACTTTTCCTCTACACTTAAGTGCTGTTTATGTTTTAATTTTAGACTTCTACTAGCAGTGTTACTGAAAAAACTTCAGAAATTAAAATGCCAGTGTTATTTCAGGGAAAAGTAATATGTAAACCTAAATAGCACTGCAACTTTTTCGAGTTGATATTCTATAATTGCACACATTCTTCTTTAATAAACCGTGTACATATTAATGTATTTTTGACAGCTTTGCAGAGTTCTCAGAGGTAGAATACTATGCATAACTTTTAGTTTCAGTTAATTTTTCTTCTCCTAAGATGTACTTAAATCCTTTGCTAACAGCTACCTTTCCATTTCTGTTCTTATAATCTATTTTGATAATGAATCTGTTGAACCAAAGGAATGCTTTATAGTAATTGTTCGGTATTATTTTTCAGTGGTGTGTTGCTACTTTTATTTAAGTAGAATATTCCAATCCAATTAAGATGTCAAGTGATGACATTATTGGACGTTTATAAGCAAGTTTAGGTAAAGATATGATTATTTTTAAATTATTTCTATGGTACTGAAAATCAGAAATCAGAAATATGAATAAATTCCAAAATCAGTATTTTGACAGAAACATTGAAGGAGGAAACCCACAAAGTATGGTATAGTATTTAAAATTTATTTTATATGTAATAATAGAATGGTATAATAATAGGTCTGCAAATAACTTCTGCTTTTCAAGAATAAGATCTAGGGTATCTTGATTATGGCAGCAAGAGTAGAGAAGTAGCAAGTAGTGCTAATACCACTTCCTGCCTGACAAGCTTCTTTTACAGAATAGAAGAGAGTTTTGGAATATCTTGATAAATATTGTGCTAAAACTATTAAATAACTAGTATTTACAATTTTAAACAGCGGAAATTAAAAAGCAGAGGGAATTCTATTACAAACTGGGTATGGAAGTACCAGGGGACATCAAAGGGGAGACATGCTCTGCAAAACAACATCTAGATTCACATCGCAATGGTAAATGGTCTTATGTTTATTCTGTCTTGGGGTGGGGGTACAGAGTGCCCTTAAGCTGCTGAAAGGATCTGTCAGACATAGGTGTCTGGCTAATATTAGCACTCCTAATTGTTGCATAATATTGTACAAGGCTTGCTTGTGCTTATATATTGGACTATATACAAGAACTCACCACTTTGAACTCACTATCTAAGTGCAGTAGTGTTTTGCATCACACTTGTTTATAGAATGTGTTATTTTATCCAGCTGTAGTGTGTTCCTGGAGGTCTTCAGTAGTATCTATGTGGGAACTCTATGATATGAAAAGGTTACCTTATATCCCAGTCCTAAATTGCACTAACTTCAGAAACTGCTGATGTTAAGTATAATTTTATGATAGAAACGCTGTGGTGGTTATTCTTAAAATGCATATGTGTATGTATTTATCCAAGGGAAAAAGAATTCTCAAATCTGTGACTGTCAGGAGAGCACATGAGTTTTACGGAATAGTGAATGAGCCCTGACAAATTTGTAGCAAGGTGTCTTGAACTGATTTTCTGGGAAGCTTTGAATTAGTGTCCACATCTCTGCTACCAAGAATAAAGCTGCTTACCAACTTTTTTCCTGGTTAGAAGCTGATCATACTCTGACAAGCCTAATTACTAAATAAACAAACAAAAACCCCACAGTTGCTCTTATAGTCTTGACTTTGTTTCAGGATATCTGATATGTTTCAGATCATCTGATATGTCTGATATAATTATTGTAATGGTCTGCTTTCTTCTGAAAGTTGAAACTAAACCAGATGAAAATTCAAACAAAGAAACTTCTGAAGAAAACCAGGAAGAAGATAATGACTATCATCGAAGTGATGAACAGGTGGGATTACTTCTGATATAGGGCATTTCTTAGTTTTACTTTGTATTTCTACTTTATCTTTAAATGATTATTTTATTTTGATAAAAAATTTGTCCTCTGACAAAGACAAGATACAGTTTTCTTCCATGCTTTTGTGTAAACTTGAGCTTCATCTGTTTTATTTAGGTAGCTGTGAAGAAATTTGATTTTGAGAATTTCATTAAGGTTTGATAGTTATTTGAGTTTCCTGAATATTGGCTAAGCATTGTGTTGGCTTTCATCTTAACTAGATTTCAAGTCATTTGGGCCCTTTATCTGAGAGTCTACTCCCATGCCACTACAGTGCATAAGGGCTGAATATGTTTCAATAATTAAAATGAAAAGTCTTCTTTTATTTAGTATTTAGTGTTAAGCTTTAAGCACAAAACTTGTTTAAGTATAAAACTTGCTATTGGAATACACAAGTCACTGCCTTTGTGTTTCTCTGCTAACTGTGCCCAAAGTAAATTAAGTTTGGATTAATTTTCCATTTAATGACAGTGCAATGGTATTATTCAGATGGATTGTGCTTTGTACCAGATCATTTAAGTGCACAGAATGAAACTTATTCTAAAGCCCTTACACTAAATAAAGAAAATAGATGATTGAGAAAAGGAGAATTGAAGAACGGAGATCAAAAGGACACTTTTGTCCCGTATAATCTTTTGAACTTCAAAAATTTGTTGCATCATCTGCATGAATAATTTTGAAGTTCAAAATATTATTTTAAAGCATGCCTTAAATATTAAGTTATATTACTGGATTCAGAGGTTAGATTAGAAATAGTAATTAAAAAGTGCTAATGATTTTGTCCAGGAGCAGCAAGGACAGGCTGCTGCTCCATAGGGGCAAGCAAGCCAGGAGCCAAGAGTTTCAGCAAGGCAGACGGGGCACTGACCTTTTGCAGTCTCACAATGCCTGAAAAAGGAAGGCATAGCAGCTCTGGTGACAGTGACGGTAAATCTTTACTGATAAGTGAGACACCACTTGGGGTACACGGGCCCATCTGTATGTTGTATCTCTGCCCTGATGGCCTGAAGTGTCATGGGCACACCAGGCCAAAAATAATTCACCCTTATGTTGCCAATCTAAGTCCATCTGAGCCACTTCAATCTTAGCAGCTTTAGCCACTTGTTGGTTGTTCTGGTGTTCCTCAGTGGGCCAACTCTTCAGTACATGAGCATCTACATAGCATACCTTCACCACCAGGTTCTGCACCCGGGCAGCAATATCTTTCCACAGTGCAGCAGCCCAGATGGGTTTACCTCTGTGTTGCCAGTTGCTCTGCTTCCATTGCTGCAACCATCACCACAGGACATTTGCCACCATCCATGAGTCAGTATAGAGATAAAGTACTGGCCACTTTTCTTGTTCAGCAATGTCTAAGGCCAGCTGTATGGCTTTCACCTCGGCAAACTGACTTGATTCACCCTTTCCTACAGCAGTTTCTGCAACTTGTCGTTGAGGACTCCATACAGCTGCCTTCCATCTCCAATGCTTTCCCACAATGCATCAGGACCCATCAGTAAACAAGGCATACTGCTTTTCACTTTCTGACAGTTTATTATATGGTAGGGCCTTTTCAGCACGCATCACCTCCTCCTATGGTGACAATCCAAATTCTTTGCCCTCTGGCCAGTCTATGATGACTTCCAGAATTCTTGGAAGACTGGGATTTCCTATTTGAGCACGTTGTGTAATTAGTGCAGCCTACTTACTCCATGAAGCATCGGTTGCATGTTGTGTAGAGGAGACCCTGCCTTTGAACACCCAGTCCAGCACAGGCACCCAGGGTGCCAGGAGGAGCTGTGCTTCAGTGCCAATCACTTCTGAAGCAGCTCGAACCTCTTCATAGGCTGCCAGTATCACTTTCTAAGTTGGGGTACAGCTGGCCTCAGATCCTCTATATCCCCGACTCCAAAAGCCGAGGGGTCGACCTCGAGTCTCTCCTGGAGCTTTCTGCCAGAGGCTCCAGGTAGGACCATTCTCCCTGGCTGCTGTTTACAGTACATTTTTTACATCTGGCCCAGTCCAGACTGGTCTGAGGGCTACTGCATGAACTGTCTCTCATTTAATTTTCTCAAAGGCTTGTTGTGGCTCAGGGCCCCGTTTAAAATCATTCTTCTTACGGGTCACATAATAGAGAGGGCTTACAATCAAACTGTAATTTGGGATGTGCATTCTCCAGAACCCCACTGCACCCAAGAAAGCTTGTGTTTCTTTCTTATTAGTTGGTGGAGACATTGCTGTTATCTTGTTGATCACATCTGTGGGGATCTGTCTACGTCCATCTTGCCATTTTATTCCCAAAAAATTGAATCTCGTGTGCAGGTCCCTTGACCTTACTTCGTTTCATGTCAGAACCAACTTTCAGCAGGATTTGGATTATTTTCCTCCCTTTCTCAAAGACTTCTTCCGCTGTATTGCCCCACACAATAATGTCATCAATGTATTGCAGGTGTTCTGGAGCTTGCCCCTGTTCCAGTGCAGTCTGGATCAGTCCATGGCAAATGGTAGGGCTGTGTTTCCATCCCTGCGGCAATCAGTTCCAAGTGTACTGGACACCCCTCCAAGTAAAAGCAAACTGTGGCCTGCACTCTGTTGCCAAAGGAATTTAGAAAAATGCATTGGCAATATCAGTTGTGGCATACCACTTAGCTGCCTTTGACTCCAGTTCATACTGAAGTTCTAGCATGTCCGGTACGGCATCACTCTATTGTGGTGTGACTTCATTCAGGCCACGATAGTCTACCGTTAGTCTCCACTCTCCATTAGATTTTCGCACTGGCTGTATGTGACTATTAAAGGGCGAGCGGATCCTGCTGATTACTCCTTGGTTCTCCAGTCTACAGATCAGCTTATGGATGGGAATCAGGGAGTCTCAGTTGGTGTGATATTGCCGCCGGTGCACTGTTGTGGTCGCAATTGGCACTGGTTGTTCTTCAACCTTCAGCAACCCCTTGACAGAAGGATCCTCTGAGACACCAGGCAAAGTGGACAGCTGCTTAATTTCCTCTGTCTCCAAAGCAGCAATACCAAAAGCCCATTGGTACCCTTTTGGGTCTTTGGAGTACCTTCTCCTGAGGTAGTCTATGCCAAGGCTGCATGGAGCCTCTGGACCAGTCACAATGGGGTGCTTTTACCATTTCCTCCCAGTCAGGCTGATTTCAGTCTCCAGTACAGTCAACTCTTGGGATCCTCCTGTCACTCCAGAAATATAGGTGGGTTCCACCCCTTGACATCTTGATGGCATCAGGGTACACTGTGCACTGGTATCTACTAGAGCCTTATACTTCTGTGTGACTGATGTGCTAGGCCATCTGATCCACACAGTCCAGTAAATCCAATTGTCCCTTACCTCCACCTGTCTGGAGGCAGGGCCCCTCTAATAGTGATCACAATATTGACCACTTACATCTTTAGAAAGGGATTAGTCTTCTTTATCATAGCAACTGGAGTAAAATCAGCTCTTCCACTCCATCTGGAAACCTGCTCACCAGAGACTGAAGCGACAGCTTTCATGGGATGATCATCCTTGACCGCTGTTGTCCTCTTCAATTCACACACCTCTGTTGTCGGGGTTTGGGTATCTGCTGTACTTGTCACTGAGGCTTGTGTAGCTGCTGTGCTTGGTGTTGGAGTATCTGTACTGTCTGTTGTGATCAGAGTTTTAGTAGCTACTGTACTTGTTGCTGGGGTTGGTGTAGCTGCTGTGATTGGAGCTGAAGTAGCTGTGCTTTGAGCTGGAGTAGCTGTGCTTGGAGCTGGAGTAGCTGTGCTTGGGGCTGGAGTAGCTGCGCTCGGAGATGGAGTAGCTGTACTGTCGTGTTCAGAGTTTGAGTAGCTGCTGTACTTGACACTGGGGCTTCTGTAGCTGCTGTACTTGGAGTAACTGCGCTGTCTGTTGCAGTCGGAGTTTGAGTAGCTGCTGTAATTGTCCCTAGGGTTGCTGTAGCTGCTGTATTTGGAGTTGGACTAGCTGCATTGTTGGTTGCATTGCCATCAGATCCAGGGATGGTTTTTTACCTTTGAAGGTGCCGGACGATGTTGAACAGGGCTCTATAAGCATAGTCCAAGCCCCAGCATGTTGCCGTGATTTGTCCCTCTCTGGTATGATCGGGATGACAACACACCTCATTTGAGTGTTTTACTAATTTTTCCAGATTTTGCACATATTCAGTGGGAAGTTCCAAAGCACTGGAAGGGCCCACTGGCCCAGATTCTTGCCCTTCCTATCCCACATACCCTGTAACTCATGACTGTCCAGCCTTGGGGAAAATCTCTTGGTCCTCCTATATCATCGTCTAACCCTAGAAAAGACCCAACCCTGACTCTGCTTAACTTCTGAGTTCAGACGAAATGGTCATTTGTAAAACACACTCTGTATGCATGTGAATATGGTGATCCCCATCGCAGTCAGCAGGCAGATCTCAAGGGTACTCAAAGGCCATTCACAACCTTCGGAACTCTCAAATGATGTTGTAAACGATCTGGTGGGGGAGCTGGGAAGTTAAGGGAATATCTCCTTCACAGGTTGACCACCCGAGGAGCGGAAAAAAGATGTGTAATTGCTAAACACTTCTATTATATACCTCCCAAAGTATAGAGGTGGTGACCACACTGGGAACGCAAGCCAGATCAGTTTCATGATCAATGATTCTATTGTATTACAAGTCATTACCATAAAGTATAATGAGACAAGAACCTTAGCCCAAGGCCCCCAGCCGTTAAACACTAAGACAGCAAATACTGGCTATAAGTAAGGTATGACATGCTGAAACTCTTGAGATCAAGAGCAGCAACACTGAAAGCCAATAAATCAGCACTGTGATGAGTGACTATTAATCCAAAACAATAAATGCTTATCACAAATAAGATTAGACACACTCTGGTCAGATCTGTCACTATCTCAACCCCTCAGGCCCCACGTTGGGCGTCAAAATGAATTATCGTGGTTTAATCACAGCAGACAGCAAGAACCA